AGCTTCTTGTTCCTAGCAGCGAGGCCAGGAGCCCCTGGTAGCATCCTCCCTCCTAGTAGTACGGCCAGGAGGCCCTAGCAGCTTCTTGTTCCTAGTAGTTCCTAGTAGTACGGCCAGGAGCCCCTAGTAGCGTCCTTGCTCCTAGTAGTACGGCTAGGAGCCCCTAGTAGCTTCTTGTTCCTAGTAGCGAGGCCAGGAGCCCCTAGTAGCGTCCTTGCTCCTAGTAGTATGGCTAGGAGCCCCTAGTAGCTTCTTGTTCCTAGTAGTTCCTAGTAGTAGGGCCAGGAGCCCCTAGTAGCGTCCTTGCTCCTAGTAGTACGGCTAGGAGCCCCTAGTAGCTTCTTGTTCCTTGTAGCTTCTGAAAAAGCTGCACTTCATCCATGATGTGGCGGCCTGCATCGCCTCGCTGTCCAGCTCAACTCCGGCGCTCTTGAGCCTGGCTAGCACCTGGGACAGCCAGAGTTGAAGGTTCAAACCTGGTCGCCGGGGTTCCAAGAAGGTGGACGTTCCTTAGGTCCCTCAGGGTACTTTAGTAGCATAAGACACAAGGCTGGACTTTTCGGAAACCTTTCAAATGCTTTTCGGCCTTTGCGACGTCATCCGCTGCCTCTCCAGACATGACCTGCCAAGCACTCAAGGTGCCTAACCGAGATTCAGTTCGGAAGGGCTCCAGCAGCCCCACGGACAACGAAAAGCGAACTCGTCTTCAAAACCAGTTCATCACGAGTTCATCACGATTTTTCAAGGTTCGACACGTCTTCCAAAGAGCCTGATTCAGAAGAGGGCTACACGGGAATGTGCGGAGCAATGGACTGGCGGCATTTCATGCATACTCAGGTGCGCAATTGCATCCAGGATCCAGCTGAAATCATGTTGCTCTGTTGGGTTGCGTATCAAAGCACTTCTGTCTGTTGGTTCAAGAGGCATGAAGTTTTCGTGAAGTGTTAAGTAGCAGTCTGCAAAACTACGCAAGTTGAACCTGATAGAGACTGACGAATCTGTGAGGCCGCAGGACACTGCAAGTCATCATGTTTAGAGCAAAAACAGCCCTTCCAAGGTCGCACTTCCAAGCACTTGTTACTAGTAGTAAGGCACTTGTTCCTAGTAGCTTCTTGTTACTACTAGTAAGGCACCTGTTACTACTAGTAAGGCACTTGTTACTAGTAACATGCAACTAGTAGCATCCTTGCTTCTAGTAGCGATGCCCTTTGTTACTAGTAGCGTGATAAAACACAAACCCTAAGCTTTGGAGATGTAACATGCCAAACCTTTTGCGCAATATCTATTTTTACAGTCCAACGATTCGGCTACCCATGACATGTCCAAAGAAGCAAGAAGTGCAATGCTGCGGCGGATTCTTTTTCTCTAATGTGCAGGCTTTACAACTGGAGAGCACAACTATAATACCATCGCTACTGGCGTCCAGGCACACACATCAATCTGCATCAATAGGATTGGATCGATCTAGAATCTGGTGAATCCATTGGGATCAATAAGACGTCCCATCGCCAGAGCCTCTCCGAGCGAGGCCCGCTTCGGCCTGCTTCGGCCTGGTCCTGCTCTACTTGGACTCGGCTTGCATTCGGCCGTGGTGTCTACCACGAAGGGAAATTGTACTTGCAAAGGCATCATGCCTGTGCGCCAGGTTGTGCGCCAGGCTATCCCTCAAACCAAACAAAACCAAAACTTCTTATCTGTTGTCTAGTCACTTCCCTCATCACTGTTTGCTGAAATGCTCCCGCCGCTCAGTGTTTTGCTGTCTGATGTGGCTTGGTTTCACCTGGACGTGACACGCATCCTGTGTTTAAGTGACCAAAACGATTGACGAGTGTCAACATACAGTTGATATTCAAAATAAAGAACATCACACAGACCTTACCTGACGAGCTTGCCTGCAATGGCGGCAAGTATCTATATACTGCACATGCCTTTCCAGCCTTTCTCCATGTGTTTATTGCACGTTGTGCAAAAGAAGTTGCACAATCATGGAACTACAGCAAAATTTCAACCCGAGTCTACGTTCAAATCAGCATTCTTGGGTCAGTATCGCAAAGGTAAGTATGGTAACCTTGCACGTGTCTAACTCCTTTCAACAGCAAGACTCCAAGACAATGCGTGGTACCACATCGAGACAAATCATGAGAGAAAGCTGAGCAGCAAAGGCTTCCTTTTTTCCAACTGTCATGAAAGCAATCTATCTTATTATGAGGAAACGCACTCAAGCCATACAAGTAAGGGCTTGGATTGGAGCAAAAATCATGGGCCACACTATATAACCTGCAACGAACTAGCTTCTCAGGTTCAAGTTTAGCAATGCTATCTTGCCCCAAACAGCATTTGTAGGAAAGGGAAATCCACCCTCTGGGAAGCCAAACACTTCGGTGGTGTTCCCACCGTTCCATCCAGGCGGGTGGCCATGCACCTATGCGAAGGAGCCGCCCGAGACCAAACTCAAGTGGAAAAAAGACAGAAAAAGAGTGTGGTAGGACGCTGTGACACTCTGCATGTCCCCAGCTCCTAATCAATTCTCACATCCAACCAGAATCTGATGTCTGATCTCACAAGTTTTGTGCGTGATTTTTATTGTTGTCAGAACGAGAATCTGTGAAGGGTATTGCATGGAAAAGACCCACACTTGAACTGAAAAGACAAGGCAAAACATCCTACTTTGAGGCCGACACTTCTCGACGCTCTTCTTTAGTGCTTGCACTGCGGATGAGTCCTCGTAGTTGGTGAACCAGACCTGGCAAACCCAGCGTTTCTCGGGCACAGGAACCCAAGGGGGGGGTTCGTTCGGAGCTGAATTGAACGCAACAGTGAAGCAATCGCGTAAAGGCTAAGCAGTTCGGGGCCCATGGAAACTGGTGAGCCTTTTTGAACACAGAAACGCACGGCAAAAAGAATCAATCGACCACCTCAAGGCGGATGACCCCTGCAGCTCTCGGCCCTGACAGCTTGTCCACCTGAACTCACCAAGTCCCAGGTGACCATGCGGAACATGCGGCAAGACTTGGATGGTTGGAGATTCTTCCACGTGACTTGCATGAGATCAAGTGAATCAAGTGTCATGCTTTCGCTGGAGCTTTCTGTCCAGTTTCCAGGACTGACTATGATGGACGCTGAGCTCCCTTTGCTGAGATTCTCACAAGTCGAATTCCAGTGATCATATTGGCAGGCTCGATCGTTGCACCAATCCTGATGGGAACTTCTAGCTCAGGAACCACAAGATCCGCTGCTGTGATGACGACGCAAAACGGACACCAGAATATGCGTTGATTCCATCTACTGTATATACAGGCTCCATCTCGGATGTTATATCACGACACAAGATAAGTACAGTAGTACGAAGAAATCGAATCTAGATTTCCGCATGCATCTGTGCTGTGTATGTGTTCGCATGTGATTTGGCCACGGTCTTCAAAACTGCTGGAAGGCTATTCTCCAATGCAGTCAGAGGGCACGCCAAGCACCAGGTTGTTCCAATACTCGTCAACCTGTGCTCCATCTGCAACTTTGCTCTGAGCTACGTCGCAGCTACGTCTTGGACAAAGGCGCACTGTGGTTTCTATCCAACAGAAGCAGCAAAACAGCTTCACGCAACCACCTGCATCCCGCCTGTCCACCGCCAACGGTTGGCTTGAGCTGAAACTGAAAATGACCTCCGTTTGTGTTCATCTTGTCCTTCCAGTGCACAAGCTGCATCTACAAGGGAACTGCAGGTTGGTCTAGTTGGGACAAATGTACAACCAACAGCGTAAGTGAGCATGAAAGTTCCCAAATGTCCTCCCACTCTGGACGGATGTTCTCGCGGAATATCATGATCGCATCCTGGGCTCACAAATGAAAAATTCACGAAATTCTCACGAGAAGCACTGACAATGATTTCTGCAAAACCATGCAACAGTATCTCAGGGTCTTCATGCCAAGCATCAATGACGTGCAGGCCATCAGGTTGCTCTCTCACCATGCGCTTCTGACCGATGACGTGCAGGATGCGATCCGTTCCGACCGACTTTTGGGATCGAACTCCACGTTTCGTTACCGACTTGTGGTTCGGCAGGAAAACAGAAAGGCCAGAGGACATGAGGAGGACAGAGGACAAAGGGATGACGGAAGGAAAAGAACATGAACACACCAAAGAGGACAAGGAAGGACAAGCTGTGGCCAGACAACGCCAAAAGGACAACGGAACAACATGTGGGGAGCACGCCAAGAGGACCGCAAAAAGAAAGCAACGACGACCGGAGAAAGGCTGGCATCCGCGGCCAATGAACACCTGAAGAAGGCAACAGAAGAACATGAGGGGGACAGGACCCAAAAGATTGTGACAAAAGGAGAAGAGCACGACATTCGGCTGGCGCGGTCTGATACTGTGGCCAGCTTCTTTCTTCCTACGAGAACCCTGCAAGAAGAGGACGACAGGAGGACAAGGATTGTCTTGCTAGTGCTTTACTGCTTGTAGTGCACACTCGCATGTTGACATGTTTACATGCTGACAGGCTGCCATGTGGCCATGCTGCGGTATTGAAGTCTTCGCGCTTGCCGGCTGGCACACAAGGCTTGCACGTGTGCAATTGGACCCTTTTGTGCTTGGGAACGGTGCTGTGATGGTGTTCTGTCTACATGCTGCCATACTGTCATCTGGACACCAGCAACAAGGGGGACAAGAGGACAACGGGAGGAAAAAAAAGAGGAGAAGAAGCGGACAAAAGGAGGAAAAGACAAAGGACAAAAAGAGGACAACAGGAGGACAAGGTCTGGAGACCGGCTGGCAGCCGCGGCCAAGCTGGTGTCAACAAGAGGACAACAGGGGCACAAGTGGAGGACAAGAAGAGGACAAGAAGACGTCAAGAGGAAGACAAGAGGAGGGCAATGGAAGGACAAGAAGTTGACAACAGGAGGACAACGCCCGGACACAGGGTTCACCAGCGCGGCCAGAGACTGTGACGAGTTTTTTTCCTGAGAGAGAACCCCAACAGTAAACTGTTTGGGGAAAGAAGGCGACGGTCCTGCTCAAAGAGCTCGGAAGGTTGCGGCATGTGGTTCCAAAGCTTCCAAAATTCCTGCACAGAGCAGCGCAGGAGTCAGAAATTGCTTTAACTTTAAAAAAGACGAAAACCACTCAGATGCAGCAAAAAGAATCATCTTGCATGTGCAGCACTTCTAAGGGGAAGCTTTCGGCCCCGTTAAGACAATCGAAGCCAGACTACCTTCAGATTCAAGTGAATTGTCAACCAACTGGGGTCTAATCCAAATTGTGAACCATCTGGTGGATGTGGTTCACCTAAAGATTCTTGACTTGCTGGTCAATGATTTGGTTCCCCACTTGGAGTACCTACCCCACGCAGCCTGCACAGTCGAGAATGCAGCAACCTTCAGGGCAAGCAGTTACAAGTTCTCCTGCTGAACTGCTGCGAAAGACTTCTAGGGAAGCATGAGAATCAATTTACCTAGGCTCCAAAAGAAATTGAGGGCTGGTTGCTTGTATACATGTTCGTTCTTTCATGCCTGTCATGTTGCAGCTCCTGGCACATGAGCCGAACAAAGAGTTTCCTCAACAAATACGCTTGACAAATGCTATCCGGGCTTCTTTTGGTTTATTAGATTCCTCTATCTGTCCTTTCTTCTTGGTTGTCGAAACAATTTGTTTGGTCCACTCCCGCTGCTTTGAGCACATCAAATCTACAGCAGTGTATAATTCACCTTCTATTGATGTCGCTTCCCTTGAGCTCAGAAAATCATAAAAAGTGTGATGACTGACAAGTGCACATAGATGGCACCTGGCTAGACGCCTAAAGAGAAAAGATGCTCTGCCAAGACTCAGAACATGTTCAACAACATCCACCTCAATCTCACTCCAACCTCCTTCCAGCCTTGTGAGTGGCATCGGAATAGGCTGCTGCCTTGTCGTTTGCCATGATCTGCTCCCAAATGGACCTTGCAAGTGTCAATCAGCCTTCGGATAGCTCCAAACACACTTTCTTCTATCCCTCCCTCAACACCTGCCAGACTGATGTTGGGTAGCGGTAGCGGAAAACAACACTGATTCCCACTCGAATACACGCAAGTGAAAACTTGAAGGCTGTACAGTACAGGTCGTAGCTGTGAATTTTCTCTTCCTACATGCCATCAGCCCCACAGTCTTGAATTGCATGGAAGTAACCATGTGTACCGCAATGGCAAATCCTTCTTGAGCATCTCCTCATTTTCGGCAGAGTTGTCTGACGTAAACCTTGCAAGACAGAAGGTTTTCCACTCAACTGCTTTGGCACATTCGATTGATCTACTCCCGACACCTTCAAAGCCAGCTAAACTTACAGCATCAATTGGAATGTCTAACACATCTCCAGATGACCCGCAGAACCGCAGCTATCTACTCTTGTGCAAAACAAGCTGGCAGCACTTCAGGTTTGCATTTACCGTCTCGTTGAAGCTGAGATATGCCATCCTTGGAGAATCAAACCACACGGTGAAAACATGTGGTGTATACACATAGTCAGCGGTAGGAAGACATCTGTACATCTCTGTACTCTGATACAAACATCCACAAATATCACTCTCACACAAACAGCTTAACATTCGACATGATCATCTCAAAGGTAAAGGACTGCCACCAAGAATCCTTTGTGCGAAGGCACGCTAAGACCCTTCACAGTGCACAAAAAGCATTGCCCTCTTGCACATCTCAATGGTCTAGCCCTACGAGTGGCTGTACAAACACACAAACTATGCAATATCACCCCGCCGGCCTGGCCAAAAAACTTCAGGTTAAACTTCCCACATCCTAACTGAGCCAAATGACGAAGGAGGCCGCACTGGCTTGACAACCTATAAGAGGCACAAAAGTACACGGTGAGGTCGAATGAGACCTGGAGAGTTTCGACACAACATGCAGTGGCTTTTCGGTGCCGCTCGATCTGGCAACGTGCTTGGCTGCACCCACTCGCCAGTCTGTCAGCAAAAGGCAAAGTGAGACAGCTCTGACTGTACTGGAGGGTAATCCAAACTTCCTCGAGTGTGAACTGCTGCACCCTCTTGCCAGAGCCTGACTCAATCTCCACCTCAACCGCACCAGGACCCTTCAGGCCCCAGCACAGCTTTCTGCCTCTGCTGGTTCCTGTGGAAACCCAGGAGGCACTGCGGCCAGGATGCCAAATTAATCCACCAATTCTCCCCTTCCTGCTTCACATGCGAACTTTACCCCCTGACTCCCAGCCCCAATACAATGAGAGGCCATAAGAGGGCCGAATCTATCTCATCTAGGACTAGTCGATGGGCAGCATGTGCGTCGCCACCGAATTGAGCGTGCTTTGCGCCACACATACCCGTCGCAAGGGCCTCCCTCAGACTTGCAACCAGAAGGCAATTTCTGCCATCCTTTACATTACCTGGCCGCTCAAAAAGCACACGACGTTCCCCGAAAACGCCGATCTCACACCCTGAATTTCGGCGATGCGGCGGCTTTGCCGGGGGCTTGGCGAAAGCTTTGCAGTCACGAAGCATATAGACAGGGAAACACTTTGATCCTGCAAGCCAAAGCCTTTTCATACTGCTTGGGTTCACCAGGTCCCAAAGTTTCCCACTCTTATGGACAAGTTGCAGCACAGCTCTGCTTGTCTAATTCCTTGACAGCTCGTTCTGCATCAGAGAGATTTGCGCCTGGGCAACCAAATTGAAAAACAGTTCTCAGCATTTGTTGAAATCTCTACCATAGGACGATACACCTTCAGCCGCTTTGCAGAACAAAATCACTTCATGCATTCAAATATCCAACAACAATCGCTGCAAACCACCAGGATTACATACATCATAGATCATAATAATAGAGCCTGAAGCCCTTGTATGAGCCTTGCTCGCTTAGTAGCACCGTTCATTTTGATGCAAATCGATGATGCTCGTACCTTCCAAGATAACTAAGCTATCTGTCTGATGGTGCTGGGGCAGCTGACGAACATGATGCCCTCTGACCAGAACCCACTCACCACTGTGCAGAAGCGAATGGCAATGTGATCCAATGCTGCGAACTTGGAAAGCCTCAACCCTTAAGCGGCCCTACATAGCATACATCCAAGCCGTGTCAAGTTGTGTTCACGGAAGCGTGACGTCAGCCACAGGCTCCTCTGGAGGGGCATCGTAATGAAGGAAATCCAGCTCAACATCTCCACCTCGCAATTCCAATCTGGAATCCTTGATAGACCAGCGCGTGATGAGGGGCAAAGCTCGAGAAAGCCTGAAGGGCGGCAGGCAAGATGCAACCAATGTGGCAAAAACAAAAACTCAGACTTGCGTGGCTTGTATCAACAAAACCGCACCTCTGCTCCAAATCCATCAATGGTGGAGGTGACATCACCATGGTGCTCATGACTCCACCAACTTGAAGCATCTCAGTGCCATCAGGTGTACTCGTCACTTGGACCTGGAACGACACTTGTGGAAAACATCCGTGGGATTGGGGACTTGAAGCACTGTAATAGGAAGGACAAGAAGATAATGTATACTGTTGCTGTAACTGTTGCTAACTCTAAGCTGGTGCACAAGAAGTTCAACCAGGAAAGGGATTCTTCAAACAAGTGTCACACAACTAAGGACGAGGGACGGTTGTATTGAGGATATTCCCCAATGGCATTGAAAGTTGAAATGTGTGCCCCCCTCCCCTGTTGTTCACGCTCATGATGATGTGGCCCTTGTTCTCAGCAGCATCTCCGTCAACATAACCTCTGCCCTTGCCTTTGCCCTTGATGGCCAGCGCTGCATCCAAATTCACCAGTTCACCCCCAACCACCAGGCGCTGCAAATCCCAACATCCCTCCGCCGGATGTGGTGCTTTGGTCTCTTCTTTGGGTGGGCTTCGCCGCAAGGACAGTACAAAACGATCGTGAACCTTACTGGCACAAACAGCTGGGAAGACCATGGCTCCTGGCTGGCGAGGACAGCCTTTGAAGGCCTCGCCAATAGAAGTGCCACCTTGCCAGAAGCTGACGCCAACCGTGGCTTCATCTGTGAGATCCAAAGTCACACCAATCACGGAACCTTTCTTCACCGGCTCACCGAAAGAGGTTTTCAAACCTGCACTCCCATTGCTCAGGTTGCCCGGCCCACCGAAAAAGAGACCCTTGATCTTGTAGCCCTCAGCAAAGCCTGCTTTGGTTGTAACGCCGATGAAGGCGCCAGAGCCCTCAATGACTTGAACCTCAAAGTATTCCTTGCCGCTGGAGAAGCCAACACCGCAAAGGGCATTGTACTTGGAACTGCCTTTCCTAAGACTGCACAGCTCGTGAAAAAAACATGGAGCCGATCATGGAGCCGATCATGGAGCCTATGAAACCACTGAAAATCTTCCAAGGGTGTGCAAACTCTGTCAACACACAAGGTCCAAATAGAAGGTTGTGGTGCCAACCCGGTCGAACAAAATTTTGCCACTCGAAGAACCCATGGTACAAAACAAACAGAAGTGGTCTGGCCGGGAGTCACTTGGGCAACAGCAAAATTAGGCCCGGGTTGCCCTCTGGGAGGGCGAGATCTTGGACAACTTACATAAGGAATGCAGCCAGAAAAGCCGTTGTGCCTTTCAACGACTCAATAACTCAATGAGGATTCCCAAAAGTCATTGAATTGCATTGAAGGACGACATGAAGGTCGACATACAGTTGCTGGACTATGCCCTTATGAACAGTACCCTCGCGCTCCCTCTGTAACATTGTTGGGCTGAAAGTGGTGGGGAAATGACCAAAATCACCCTGCAAGAATCCCAGCACCAACATTCACGAGGGCGTGCGGAGGTTGATGTGAACAGACAGTACGACACGTTCGTCTGCGACAGTGCAATATTTCCTCCACGAACAGTAACTCATCTTAGTGGCCTTGCCTTAGGCTCAGTCCAAGACTCTTCTCCTCACCGACAATCTCAAACTCACCACCACCGAGGTCTTTCACATGATCCTCTGGAGCTCCAACCCATGGTAAGCGCACCAGCACCACTGTGATCTGTGCATCCGGGACAACATCCTCATCTGCAAGAACACGTCCAGCATTCAGCTCAATGGACCTGGTGTGCAGGTTAAACAGAGTCAAACAGTTGGTGGAACAAAGGGCACCTGAGGAACTCTTCCATACCAATAAAGCAAAGAACATGTTGATTCATGTCAGCACATGAATAGAACTAGAGAGACGGAAAGGGTAAAAAAGTGTTGTTTTCCCGAATTTGGTTTTTGGCAGTTTCCGTGTCTTCTGGTTTATTGATTTGAGCAAGCAGGGTAAACAAAAACACATCAAAAATTGTTGCCGGTGAATTGGGATGAGGTCAGATGAGGATAAACTGCAGGGAGGTATGGCCACGCAACATGGCCCTTCAAATTAGAAGACTAGAGATCGATACGCAAATTTGTGGGCAACTCCTGCCTTAATGTCTGTTAAATCAAAGCGTGTAGAACTGTGGTAGCCAAAGCTTTGGAAAGCACTCCAGTTTGTTTGATCCACTGGGCGTGTTTTCAACAAAGTTGACGGCCATGCTCTTCCTCAGGGTGAGTTCATCTTACCGGAATGTTAATTGGTAATTGTTCCCAACTCTAAGTTACTTTAGGTTTGCTGTAATTTATTATCACAGCGCATTGGAAACTCCAACATCAAATCAAGTTAATCTACGAATCTACAACATTTGTGCGCCTCTGCTTTGTAAAGGGTGCAACCAAAGCACCAAAGCCGCCACTCAAGTCGCCAGAAACCAATCGCTTCAAAAACCAAAAAGAACCACAAAAACCACAGACAGGAAAGAAAACCACAAAAGCGGAAAGTAGTTCTCCATAGCCACACACTCCGGGGCATTGCTACCGGAACGGATTGCGGTTTTCCACCCGCGTGCCTAAGAAAAAACCCAAAGGGCCAGGATGAGTATGTAACTCCAAAGCCTCGAACTTGAGATCTCAAAGGCTTACAGTAAGTCTTGCAGTTGCAAAACTCCAGAAACAGCGACGAGATCGACGCCAAAAACTCACATCTGCCGACCTGAATCATCCTGCAAAAGAGTGAGAACCTCGACTACAACACTCACAAAGGGCAAGTACAGGAAGGTGCCCCTGTAAGAAACAGCAAGAGGTGACCTATGATTCTAAGGTGTACACACACTCGAGATATTGCGCACTGAACTGATTGCCCCAAACCCCTGAAGAAGCCTAAGTGAAAAAGTGGCCTGGGTAAAACAGGAAGTATATAGTGCAGTCAAATCCTCAATGTTCCAAAGTTCCAAAGGCCCAAGTCTCAAAGAAGATCAACAACCACGACGAAAGCGACGAAGAAACGAATGCACATCTGCCGATGAAGAACTGCTGCAAAGGCTGGCTCCAAGGCATAGCTTCGTTGCACTGAGTCTGCCAAGGAGTGCTCAGTGCTCCGGCTGTCACAAAGTATCAACCCACACAGACAAATCAACGGATTGCCTGCGACTCCAAGGGTTTCACACACACACACACACGCCTCCCACAAGAAAGGCGTGAAAAAACTAAGGCTGAGACAAATGTGCATGTGCGCGCGCAAAGCAGACAAACGGATGAGGATATAAAAAGCGGACAAGACCTGGTGCATGTGGCTGCAATGAAAAGAAACCAAATGACCAGGAACAACCGATGAAGCCAAGCGTCCTTGCAAGCACCTGGGCGACCTAAGACCTTGGTTTAAGTGCGAGGGCGCGTGTACACTAAGGACCAGACCTATGTGCGTGCAAG